CAGTATTTGCCACTTCATCTTAAAACTATTTTGGCTTAGCATGACCTCTTCTCATTGTAGCAAAAGGCAAGATTTTTATTCTAATAGCTAAATGGTATTGCCTGTGTGTACATGCCACATTTTCTTTTTCCATTTTCTATTGTTTGTTACCTGGATTGTTTCCAATTTGGGGCTATTGTTAATAGTACAATAAACAGATATGCATATGTAGCACTGGCCTCCCATTGTTCATCGATTTGCTCCAGCGGGCCCAGTAACGTCTCCATCGTGAGACTTGTTGTTACTGTGTTTGGCATATCGAATACGTCACGGGGAGCTTGCCAGGCTTTGCTGTGCAGGCGAGACACTCTTGGTAGCTTGCCGGACTCTGAGAGGAGCGGAGGAATCGAACTCTGGTCTGCCGGGTTGGCTGCGTGCAAGGCAAACGCCCTACCCGCTGTGCTATCGATAGCACAGATATGTATATATCCTTTTTAATTTGAATTTTGTGTTCCTCAACTATATATATATATATATATGAGTAGCATTGCTAGATTATATGGTAGATCTAGTTTTAACTTTTCGATAAACTTCCAAACTTTTCAATAGCAAAGTTTTTCCATAGCGGCTGGATCAATTTACACTTTCACTAGCACAGTAAAAGTGTTCCTTTCTCTCCACACACTGACTCGTTATTTCTCACAAAATATATCATTGTGCATTTTTAGTTGTATCTCCCTTCTAGGTTATAATGCTATTTTTGTCTTTTCATATGCCTGCTAACTCTGTATGTCCTCCTTGGTGAACTGGTTTGATTTACTCTTCCTAACAAGAAAACTTGCTTTTGGAGCGCTAAGGTTGCCTAAAATTACTATTTGTGTTCAGTGGAGTAGCACTATTAGCTTCCTTTAAAAAAGTAGTATGTTAGTGATGTAAGAAGTATCAAATTATCTTTAGGATAGACTTGTCTTTTTCCTATTTTAGAAAAAAAAAAGAAGTAATTTCATACAAATGATTAGAAATGTAAAATAGAAATGTGAGCATTCATGTATTTTTAAACAATGCAGGCTTTGTTGTGGTCAGAATCTGGACAATGGTGGTGCTTGGAAGCCACGAAGGTCACATACTCGGGACTGAGGCATGACCCAGAGCCTAATGCAGGCAGCCATGCACTCTCCCACCCCGCAAATCCCTAGCCCTTATAAACCGGATGTTTAAAATATTCTTTTCATTCTTTCCCTAGCCTGGTCAAAGAAAGATTCAAACATTTAGAACTCAGTTTGCAATGCCAAATTCCACCAGAGGATGGTAGACTAAGCCAAACACAGGAACAAGTGCCGGCTAAATGCTTCTCTCGGGAGTATGTCTGATTGGTAGAATTATCCAAAAGACGCCAAGTGCAAAGAAAGAGCCCCAAGGGGATATGGCTGTTTAGTGGTTCTGCTGATCTGTCTGCTGAGCAAAGGAAGCCGTGGGAAACTAGGGTACAATCCCCATTTCCTGTGTGAGCACTGAGCACTGAGTTTCTGGGATTTTAAAGATAGATAAGGTTTCGTCACTGCCCTTGACACAAGTCACAAATGGGGCTCAAGAGAGAGTTGCGGAAGCAGAGTCTGTGCCTCACACATGACAGACCCTGTTTCAACCCGCTGGCGCTGCCTACGGTGCCCCCTCCCCCAGGACTGATCCCTGAGCACAGAACCAGGAGTAAGCCCCGAGCACCACTGGACATGCCCACCCCATCCTACCCCCACTTACCCCTCCCCCGCAAAAAAAAAAGAGAAAGAGAAAAGAAAGAAAAAATTCATAAATGTTCAAGCCAAGAGTTACTGTCTAGTTCTCAGTTCTCCCATCCTTCAGTTCTCTAATAATTATCATTTGTTACTCTGAAGACCAGAATTCAGACCCAGAGGAACCGGGAAAGAATTTGGTGTCCAGCTTCTTTCCAGGAGATTTGGGCTTACTCTTCCCTCTGCCAGTTTCCAGACCCTGGGTGTCATGTCCCAGCTGCCTCAGACAGCTCCCATGATCCCAAATGTCCTGCCTTTGTTCATCTCTGGGATTTGGTCCCATTTCTCCTAAACTGAGCTATTTTCTTCGCCTTCAATATCTTGTGTCGGTCCAATGAAAATCTAGTCTGACTTGGAACTAGCACCTAGCTCCTTAAGTTGTGAATAGAGATTCTATGTAATTTGACTTTCTCTCTGGCTTTAGTTCTTCTGTTATTTCATTTGGGATAATTCATTAAAGGCAAAACCTAAAGTGAACTTTTATGAGCCAAAAGTGTTACTCTCGAGTAAGTTGTGTGTGTGTGTGTGTGTGTGTGTGTGTGTGTTTTGGCTAAGGGGAGTGAATTGTATGGGAAGAGTGGAGTGTGTGGGGGCGGGGGGAGTGGGCCACACCCAGGGGTGCTCAGCGGTTACACTTGCATGCCAGGATTCAAACTTTGGTGGGTCACATGCAAAGCAAACTCAGGCCCCTAGTATGTAAACTCTGATCTAGGATCTAGCTTTTTAAATCACTGGTCACAAACAAACCCTTGTGGGGTTCTGAAAGTGAGTATGGAGGCCCTGGAAATAGCAAAGAATTTCTGAATGTGCAATGACCAAAAATGTCTTCAAAATCAACTATGTCATAAATGATGTTATGTTGTTTTTCTGAAGGAAAAAGTGAAGTACAGAGAGCTATTTCTTTATGATCTCACTGGTGTGAAAAACATTCAGAAGCTTGAAAATAGTATAAGAATTTGATTTAAAAAGTTATCATCTCTGGAGAAAAATAGGAAGAATGGGATGGATTAGAAAAGTTTATTTTATTTTGTACATATGTATATCTTGGGCTGGAGTTGTAGCACAGTGAGTAGGGTGTTCACCTTGCACGCAGCCAGCCCAGTTTGGTTCCTCCATCCCTCTCGGAGAGCCCGGCAAGCTGCCGAGAGTATCCCATTTGCATGGCAGAGCCTGGCAAGCTCCCCGTGACATATTCTATATGCCAAAAACAATAACAAGTCTCACAATGGAGATGTTACTGGTGCCCACTTGAGCAAATCAATGAACAATGGGAGGACAGTGCATTGCTACATATGTATATCTTAGAATATTTAAATTGATGTATTTTCTTTGAGGCTGTAGCAAAAGGAAATTTAATTTAAAATGCAAGAATCTGAAGAAAAAAATAAAAAGGTTAAACAAGTAGTCCTGGAGGATGTGGGGATTGACTAACAAGATATGAAAACTGAAAAAAAAGATAATAAAATAAAAATAAATAAATAAATAAACAAAAAAAAGATGTGAAAACTGCCTTTTATCAGTAGGATATGTTATGTATTTGTCCTTAATAATTTCAAGGTAAGAAACAACTGTATATGCTAATACTACATTTGTATGTCTTACATTAGAAAGTGGCTTTAGCCTGGAACCATGTTTTTCTACACTAATATTCATTGATCACTTACTTAAACCCAAGTATTATGTACTATATGTTTTAAATATATGATTTATTCTACGTAACAAACCTATGAAGTACGCAATGTCCTTCAACTGATTTTACAGATTTAAAAAAAAACCCTTAAGCTCAAATATGTGCAGTAACTTCTCACACAGATGATAAAGCAGCATAACTAAAATTAGAAACTCATTTTATTCCCTCTGAGATGCATCACTTTCTTTTAAGAGAAAAAATGAGAAATACAAAGAGGTTTTGTTTCTTATTACTTGAAATTATAGTGAAAATATTTGTAATATCCATGGATAATTTATTTTCATGTGCTTTGCTAAGTAAATTGCCTGAAAGTGCTTTTCTCTCAAAGACAAACCTCTAGTCCAGAGCTTATTTTGTTCCACTGCAACACCATTTACCTGAGAAATGCACATGGAAGAAGGCTAGCAGAGCCTGAAATTCAGTTACAACATAGCCCCTGCCCCACCAATACTAGTAAGACTTTGATATTCTCCACCTCATTACACTTATCTTTTTTTTTTCAGATGATGTTTCATCTCATCTTTTTTGTTTTCATTTCCCTGATTATTTTTTACGTTGAAAACCTTTTATGTACCATAAGAGGTCATGTGTATCTCTTCTTTTAAATGTCTACTTAATTTATTTTCCTTTTTAAAAAATTTGGGGGATGGAACAACAGCACAATGGGTAGGGCGTTTGCCTTGCACACAGCCAACCCGGGTTCGATTCCCAGCACCCCACATGGTCCCCAACACCACCAGGGCTAATTCCTGAGTGCAGAGTTAGGAGTAACCCCTGTGCATCTCCAGGTGTGACCCAAAAAGCACACAAAAAATTTCCCTATGAATTATAGTAATTTCTTATATTTTTTCAAGATTCAGCTCTTATCAGGTATATAGTATAAAATTATTTTCTACCTGTCCTTAAGTTGCCTTTTCATATTTTGTTTCCTTAAGTCTGCCAAATATTGGTTTGATGTATTATCACTGATATTTTTGTTTTGATATCCTTAAGTTTCATTATATGCTTATAGTGGACAGTTTGCTTAAGCATTTGCTAATATAAAATTAACTCATACTTCTTTCTTGACTGTTACCTAATGTTATTAACACTCTATACTGCCTAAAACATAAATCAGTAATTCAAGATGAGCATGGTATTTCCCCCTATCTAATTCTGCCTGCTATATCTTTAATTCATCGTCACACCATATGCATTTCTTATTCCTTATTCTTATAATCTCATTTTCAACCCCTTTAATTCTTAAAAAAAAATTCTCCACCTACTAATTTCAACGGCATAAACATACTTAGTGTTTACTATTCATCTTTTACAGAAGTGTATTATTTGGAAACAAATATACATATATTAAAAAATTAAACACCAAAAACATTTTTAAGTGAAGGCTAATATTATCTAATAATAGTCACATGCCCCCTTGTCCTTGTAGTCTTATGATGTCTTTAATCATAATAAATTCTGGTCCCTAGTGGCCTAATTTTTCTACAGAACTTGCGGGATGTAGTTCAGAGTTGGATAAACTTCTTTTAAAGGTTATCCGCTCACAAATGAGCAGGCAAAGGTGAGTCTTCTATTCGTAAGTTTCGTTTGCGCCATAGATGTCTTGATTTGTGGCAAGTATGGGACTTAGAAGATTGTGTAGATCTGGGACTCTGGGAATGGGGCGAATCCTTCCGAAGGAGGTTCCGGGAAATGACCCTCTGAAGGTTCTTCATGGAACAACCTGCAGCAGTAGTGATCACCCAGGGATGGGCAAGAGCCTGCCCAGCTGACATGCGGTGACCGGCCTCCAAAATCAGCAGTCTGTCTATAAAGTCCTTCGCCAAGTGTGAAATATTTGGCCAAGGCTAAGAAGAAGAATAAAAATAATTTAATTTACACACACACACACACACACACACACACACACACACACACACACTGCAATCCCATTGTATATGTATTAATTAACGCATATCAAACTCAAATGACTTTTTCACATATAATGTCATTAAATGTCACTGTCACCATCCTCCCATTGTTCATCAATTTGCTTGAACGGGCCCAGTAACATTGTGAAACTTGTTACTGTGTTTGGCATATAGAATACGTCACAGGTAGCTTGCCAGGCTTTGCCATGCGAGCAAGATACTCTCAGTAGCTTGCCAGGCTCTCTGAGAGGGGCGGAGGAATCAAACTCGGGTCAGCCGTGTTGGCTGCGTGCAAGGCACATGCCCTACCACTGTGTTATTGCTGCAGCCAGCCATTAAATGTAGTGATTCTAAAAAAAAAACATCACTTTTGAGAAAAGCATCACAAGATACACACACACACACACACACACACACATACACACACACACACACACGGCTTCTCACTAAAAGAAAAAAGAAAACAAACACAATTATCTTTCTCATTTGCTGTTCAATGAAAGAGAATTCCTTCCTAGAAATCTCATCAATATGCTGCCCTTAATAATATGCTTTCCCACATGGGCTTGACAAGAGAAAGTAACTTTCATAAGGGAGAGGTTCCTTCCCTCCGAAACAGGGGGGAAAATACCCACAGAGAAACAAGCTTAAAAATTATTATTTAAAAGCTAACACTATGCATTCACAAACAATAAAGAAGCTGTCTGGAAAATTCCAGATATACTGTCATAAAAATTTAAGGACTGTAATTAATCTTGATATTTTCTAAATATAGAGATTTTTGAAGAATAGTGTGATTAGGAGTAATTTAATTACACATTTTGCAGAAAATTATAAATACATTTTCCTTAGGCTAAGAGCAGTCAACATAACACTGAGTACTTCAAAATTAATAATTTTTACTTAAGTGTCTACTGGTGGTAATCCTCTAGCATTTCCATCCTTTATATTATTTTTCCATTTACATTTTTTAACTATTAAGGCACCATCATTTACATAGTTATTCATGGTTGTGCATCAGGTATGTAATGTTCCAAAATCAATATAACCACCAGTGTCGACGTCCCCCAATGTCCCAGGTTCCCTGCCACCCCCAGTCTACCTCCTTGACAGGCACAGTTTTAAGTTTGGTTACTGCACTTTGGATCTCCAGCTTACAGTGTTGTTGGCCCTGGGGTTCAGGTACAGACATATACCTCACTCTCTATCACTGATGTGTTTGAGGCCTCTGCTCTTACTCCTGTTACCTCTTCTCCATCCCTTCTTCCCCACCCAGTTTCTTTCCATGCTCTATGTCTTAATTCTTAACCATCAATTTGTATTCTTGCTCAATGTATACAGATCAAAGCCCAGAATATAGAAAAAAATTATCTTCCTATTTGTTATTTGCTTTATTATTTTGCTTCAATAATTGCATACATATATAGTGTTATTTTGTATTTATTACATGCATCTGGCTACTGAGGCCAATTACTAATGCTTTTCTTTGTGAAGGAAAACCCTTTGATAGTTCCACACTGAACAAATTTGTCACTTGATCAACTTTAAATAAATTACCAATTTTGTCAGATTTCCTACACACAGCACGAGCAGCTTTTCTTCCATACCCCAAACAACAAAACTTCACACATTCATGAACACTGCAAACTCCCAGTTTAGACAATGAATAAAGACTGTACAAAGCTGTGAGGCCAAACATTTCACTGAGGAAAAGAACTGCGCTACAAGAAGGACTTGGATCGTGTAGATTTAAAACAAGAAAATCTCTCGCCAAACACCAAGGCATCATGCAGATCAGCTGAATACATATTAACCTACTGAGCTGGCTGAGAACTGCAAACATGCTTAAACTACTTGAGTATTAATGTCATGTGCTTCTGGCCGAAAGCCTAATATCAGAACCAAAGGAGTTTGTCCCACGAGATATTTTGAAGGTAGCACAACTGGGGGAAGTATCTGGCATACTGACTAAATATCAGCCTATGAGCAGCAGCCTTAAGGCCAACGATGTTGCTCTTAAGGCAAATAGTTGCTCACTTTTCACCTCCTCACCTCCAATAGAATCTTTCAGCCCTACATGCCACTAGGGCTATGGTTAAGAAACTATTCTGAAGGGGCTGGAGCAATAGCACAGAGGGTAGGGCATTTGCCTTGCATGCAGTGGACCCAGGTTCGATTCCCAGCATCCCATATGGTCCCCCGAGCACTGCCAGGAGTAATTCCTGAGTGCATAAACCAGGAGTAACTCCTGTGTATTGCAGGGTGTGACCCAAAAAGTGGAAGGAAGGAAGGAAGGAAGGAAGGAAGGAAGGAAGGAAGGAAGGAAGGAAGGAAGGAAGGAAGGGAGGGAGGGAGGGAGGGAGGGAAAAGAAAGAAAGAAAGAAAGAAAGAAAGAAAGAAAGAAAGAAAGAAAGAAAGAAAGAAAGAAAGAAAGAAAGAAAGAAAGAAAGAAAGAAAGAAAGAAAGAAAGTCTACTCTGGAATCCATCAAACATCCTCTTACCTCTGCTGTGTAATTCGGTTTGCCTTTCAGAATCTTCCTGTACAGCCTCGTATGGTTCTCATCATCAAAAGGCAGGAATCCACTGAGCAGAACATACGTGATCACGCCCAAAGCCCACATGTCCACAGCACTGGTGTAAGGCTGCCGGCGCAAGACCTCGGGAGCTATGTAATGCGGGGTTCCACAGAGCGTCCTCATTGTCCAGTCCCCACTTTTGTTCCCCGAGTGTGCCAGGCCAAAATCTGTGATCAAAATTTTGGACTCGGCACCTGGATGATAATACAAGAGATTTTCGGGCTTTAAGTCCCTGTGAGTTATGCGCAATGCATGCAAATACTGGACACCGTCGGCCACCATCTGGAGGATTCTGACAGCGTCTTGCTCCGTAAAGGATCCCTGAGTCAGGAGTCGATCAAAGAGCTCCCCTCCCGTGGCCAGCTCCATCACCATGTAAACTCGGTCCTGGGCCTCGAAGATCTCCGTGAGCTGCACAACATAACGGTGGCTAACTCGTCTCAGGACCGAGAGCTCTGCATCACAGGCTTCTCTGCCTTCCTTGGCTCTGGTCTCCATCACCTTGATTGCAAAAGGTTTCTTGGTGGTCTTCTGTTCCACCCTGAGAACCTTGCTGAAACTGCCTGTCCCGATAAGAGCCTTAATGTCGTACCTGTTTTTTTTTTAATTGAAAATAAAAACAAAAACTGTTATCCTTCTAAAGGGATTTCAAAATTATTTAAGTGAATGTCTTAGATGATCATGGCAATAATGATTTAAGTGAATGTCTTAGATGATCATGGCAACTTCTGTATTCTCTCATCTTACTCATTATTGCTTAATATCCTTATTTTTTAAACATCCTTAAACTTTTTTTTTGCAATGGAGGCAAGGGGTATTAAAATAAAAAGTTGTTGGTGAGTCAACGGCTTTTCAGGGGGTAGGAGGTAGGGGAAAGGGAGTTGTGTGGGCATATATACACTGGTGCTCAGAGCTTATTTCTGACTGTGGACTCAGAGATCACTCCTGGCGGGGACTGAAGGTTTCTATGAAGCACCAGGGATTGAACCCAAGTTGGCATGTGTAAGACAAGCACCTTACCCACAGTACTATTACTCCTGCCCACTTATTGTGTACCAGAATATCTTTCAAATGCTCATCCCTAAATATGTCTGTCTGTGTGTGTGTATGTGTTCCCAAGACTATAAGCAGATTGTAGCTTAAGTATATGGGATTCAAATTTTAACCCTTCAAGGACCAGAGCAATAGCACAGAACAGAAGGCCTTTGCTTTGCACATGGCTGACCCAGGTTCAATCCCCAGCATCCCAGATAGTCCCCCAGCATTGCCAATGATTCCTGAGTGCAGAGTCAGGAGTAACCCCTGAGCATCACCGGGTGTGACTCCCGCCGCAAAAAAAAATTCTACTCCTTCAAGAGTTTCACAAAATTTGGGGGGAGAATTTAAGGAAGTTCCTTTCCTATCTTGAAGTCCTGGTTGTTATCATTTTCCAAGAAGCACCACCAAATCTGGATTTAGAAAATTACTACTAACTTATTCTATTTGATTTCTCAAAAGGTAGAAGAAACCACACATCAGGAGGCAAGACCAGGAATGAAGAATAGCCTTCTCTGGGGCTGGAGCAATAGCACAGCGGGTAGGGCATTTGCCTTGCATGCGGCTGACTCGGGTTCGATTCCCAGCATCCCATATGGTCCCCTGAGCACCGCCAGGGGTAATTCCTGAGCGCAGAGCCAGGAGTAACCCCTGTGCATTGCCAGGAGGTGTGACCCAAAAAGCAAAAAAAAAAAAAAAAAAAAAAAAGAATAGCCTTCTCTGAATAGCCTTCTCTATGCTACTTGACTGGGAGCTCTCAGTTCCAGACACATCTCTTATCCCATTGAAATTAATTCTTTAATAGATGCTCCCTGAGGGGTGGGCGCAATAAATAGTACAGCATTGCCTTGCAAATGGCAACCCATCAGCTTTAATCCCTGGCACCCCATAGAGTCCCCTGAGCCCAACTAGGAGTAATCCCTGAGTTTAGAGTGATTTACAAACCGAGAACAAAGCCAGGATTGGCAAAAATAAATAAATAAATTAATTAATTAATTAAGATAAAAACCAAAAGAATGCACAGCTAACAAAACAGGCAAACTCGCCTTGCATGTGACTAACCTTAGCTCAATCCCCAGCACTACATATGGTTCCCTGAGTACTGAGCCAAGAGTGATCCCTGACCACAGAACTAGGAGTAAGTCCTAAGCACAGAGCTAGATGTGGCCCAGAAATTAGAAAGTAACCCCCAGTTAACCTAAAGCTATGAACACACACTCTGAATTGATCCATCAGCCCCTGGGAGTGATATCAACACTTTGAGAAACACTGACTTGCAAGGAACTCAGGGTGTCATGCTAAGAAAAGTGAATTAGAAATTGCGCAAATACTGATTCTCTCATTTATGAAACACGCAGCAAAAGAACAGATAATATCCAATGGGAGTTGGAGAGGGGAGATTCTGCCTGCAGAGTGGAGTCTGTGAAGACCAGGAGAAATAGTGGTATGGATTAGAAGTGACCTAGGGACAGTGGTGGAGGATTATTGACACTCTGATGGCAAGTCTGGTGCATTAACACCCTATGTCTAAAAGAGTAATAACACCAATCCTGTGGCAAATGATTGTCAATTCAACTCAATTTTAAAGGGTGGGTTCAGGGGAATTTATCAAATTTAATAATCTACCTGTATTTATTTCTCTAGTTTGCAACAGAGAGAAACTTAAAACCATAATTTTCTATAGGAAAGAATATTAAAGTGATTTAGTTCAATTTTACAAATGAAGACATTTAAAGATCAGGTTAGTTCATTGGCTACTTTACAGAATGAAGCTTACAACCTAAATCTTCTTGCTTGTATAATCACTGGAGCAATAGCACAGTGGGTAGGGCCTTTGCCTTGTATGTGGCGGACCTGGGTTCAATTCCTCTACCCCTCTCGGAGAGCCTGGCAAGCTACCGAGAATATCTTTCCCACATGGCAAAGCCTGGCAAGCTACCCGTGACGTATTTGATATGCCAAAAACAATAACAAAAAGTCTCACAATTTGTTGTGAGACGTTACTGGTACCTGCTCGAGCAAATCGATGAACAACGGGAGGACAGTGCTATTTTTCTGCTTTATTAAAATTCCTCCCACAAAATGGTGCCAGAAAATGAAATGGACTAAGGGAATACCAAAAGAGAAGGTAATGAGGTCTTATATTCAATGTCAAAGATTCAAATGCATACGTCAATTTCTCCTAGAAATAATCTATTTGTGTAATAATTACTTTTCCTGCAATTTGGGGAGCAGCTTATATGTTCCTTATATTCCTTGTGTTTGCTGAATAGAAACAGCATTGACTGTAACAGCTTACAGAAAACAGCTCTGTTCTCTAGAGTGCATTTAATTTTCTGACCAATTACCTTATCAAAATGGTAATTCAGTTGTATTAAATAGATGCTGCCTCTTCTTACTCTTCCAACCGTTCCTTTTGATTGCATACATACTCAGTATGATTTTTTGAAGACAATTACAAGCATTTCAAATTCTATTGTCCTTCAGCCTAACATGTTTTTACATTAATTCTAAAGCGAATGAAAGCACATTGCAAATACCAATTTATTTCTATGCACTCAACACTTCAAGCAAATCTATTTCCTCATCAAATTCGCCATCAGAAAAATTATCATTTCTGACTAACTACACTCTTTCGCTCAAATAAAATGGGGTTTATTTAATACAGATAAGACCTTTCATGTACCAAGTACTTACGAGAGAGGTGCTGGTAATTTGAACAGGGGGGAAAACTGAATTTTAAGGCAAGATTTAGAATAGTGGAAATAAATAACTTCAGATAGAACCACAAACGTCTCCTAACATTCATGAAGCTGCATGTTTGCTTGTGAAACTCTGGATGGTGATTGCTTTTATCACTTGAGTGACTATATACTGTGCAGTTCCTGGCACAGAGGGAATACGAATGAATGTTGGATAAAATCGTCATTTATGAAGACATTATTTCCAAATCATCACACAGACTCCAAAAACTTTAGGGATCAAATCAAGCATGGGAGAAAGCATTTCCATCCACTTCCAGGCATCAACAGCTGCCTCATAGACAATTGGAGGGAAGACGACAATTTCATAGCATCCAAAATTATAGAAATTGAAATGATTTCTTTCATTTTTTCAGCAACTACAAACAGAAAATTTCTTTAGCTCCACTTTTTGATTAATTTATCATCATTTTATGACACTATAGAAATTGAGAAGTATAGTTTGATTAACTCTAGGTTGGCATCAGACTCACTGTACCAAAGTTCCACAAAATTTGGACAAAAATATAAGGATGGAGATGATAATTGTACAACTCACTTAATAGAAGTAATGGTGATAAATTCCCCAGAATAAATCAATAAATTCTAGCAACTTTATTCTGCAAGAATCAGAATCACAACAGTGAAGATATACAACTAGACTCATTTCTCCAAGAATTTTCTATGGCTCAAATCCTCATTTGCTAAGGAAGAACATTGAGATTATCTTTAATGTTTTTCCAGTGATCCTCTGCTTCCCTGATCCCATTCTAAGAGCTGGGACTGCCCCGGAAGTGGGGGGATGAGGGTGAATAAGGAGTACTGTGGCAGCATCGCCCTTTAGAGCACACACTCTTAGGTGCTCCTTAACACTTGGTGACATGCACTTGAAAAGCACTTGAATGTGGTTTGATTAACACAAATTGCACATCTGCACTCCTGGAGATCCTGACCCAGGCCTCCACTGAGCACCTCTGAAGGTGTCGGCGGCCCTGAACCCACAGGAGATTGGCTCTGCATACAGGGACTCCCACCCGTGAAGGAGGAATGGGTGTCCTTGGGGATCCACCTCCCTAAAGTTTCTACAGCATCCATCTAGATTCAACAGTCTCCAGGTCACTGTCACTGTCCTCCCGTTGTTCATCCATTTGCTCGAGCGGGCCCAGTAAGGTCTCCAGGTACTGACCCAGAAACCTAATCTGTGATGTGCGTGACCTCCAGCGCCCCCTGGAGGTCCGCACCCCACACTACAAGCCGTGGGGACAAGACACTGTGCCCCCTTCCCTGCGCCCTTCCGCACCTGCAGAGTCGCCCACACCTGGTGTGTGGACAGCGGGGGGCACGTGGGTGCACTGGCCTCCCAAGGTGTTTGTGTGCCCCAGGTAGGTCAGCTGCAGGGACATCTCTGCAGTGGGATCCCCCCCACTCTGCTAGCTGCAGGACCCTGGTCCCACACTGCAATCTGTGTGCGTACACATGACCTATTCAGTCTTGAAAAACCTATTCGGTTAACCTGTTCAGCCTTGGGGGGAAAAGAAAGAAAATAAACAACACCCATTCTGTCTCCTGGGTTTTCTCCCTGTTTTTCCGCTAAGATTAGCCCTTACTGGATGGATGGTTTGCAATACAGATAGTGAGAGGCTCTCATGTTTGGTCCTTTATCTACTTTCAGCACACATCTCCCAACCCAATTAATCCCTCCAACCATCATTGATCTAGTAATCCCCTCTCTATTCCAGCTACCTTCTCCCCTAGCTCATGAGGCAGGCTGCCAAGCATAAAGCAATCTTCCTGGCCCTTGACTCTACTGTCCTTGAGTGTCAGTCTCATGAAATAACATAACACTGTCATCTCTTTTTTAACAATTCAGTAGAACAAACCAGACCTGTTCATGCGCGCACATGTGCACACGCACACACATACACACACACATACCAGACCTTGATGTTGTTGAACACACACACACCAGACCCTGATGTTGGGTGGACACACACACACATACAGACGCACACAGACACACAGATGCACACACACACACTCCCCAGATCCTGATGTGGGTTGGACAAACACACACACCCCCCTAGACCCTGTTGTGGGTTGGACACACACACACACACACACACACACACACACACCCTAAACCCTGGTGTTGGTTGGACATACACACACATACAGACGCACACAGACACATAGATGCACACACACACACACACACACACACACACACACACACACCTAGACCTGTTGTGCGTTGAAGACTTGAAGGTCTTCCCCCCAGCGAGGATTCTTTCCTTCTTTACTTAGCAACTGAAGGGAAATTTTCAAGGTGATTAGACCTTTTTTGTTTGCAAATTAACGCTTACAAAAAAACCCTGCTCCCACACGGCTAGGCTGAGAGATAAGGGCCCTAGATTCCATTTCGAAAGAAAAGGTGCCCCAGAACAAGATATTTCTCAGAGTCCTGCCCCGAAGGATGAGAGAACTGAGACTGGGACCTGTCCAGGGGCGATTCTCCGCGCCTCCACGGGACCCCTTGAGGACGCACTAAGGCCAGTTTGATTACGTTGGCCCGAGTCAATCCACCTTGCTTTCCGGCTTTACCTGGACAGGACCCGAGGGTCGAACTTGGCTCGGAAACGGGCAATGTGCATCCTCTGAGCTGCCTCCGCTGCCGTCTCTGAGCGTGCCTGGGGCCCGTCGCCGTTGGTCCAGGCCAGCTGGGGCAAAGCGGGCACCACCTTCCCGCTGGCGCCACAGCCCATGCCCGGGAGGCGCGCGCAGAGACCGACGCTCCGGGGGCCACCTGGGCTGACCGCGGCCACCGCTGGACGGGGCGGGACTGACTCCCCAGGAACCCCGCGGAGGGGTCTTGTTAGCAAGCAAGCGCATTCTAGGAGGGGCCCCCCGCTGACAATCAGTTGGACCCTGGGGTGCCACTGAGGCTTCGAGGCTCTGGCCAGATGGACAAGAGGGCAGAAGCCTGGCTTTGACTCACGGGGACTGTTTTCCCTGTCTGTAAAATGAGGACACGAAGAATTAAATTAAAATTAGACCCGGATTAGGAAGGCCATGTTCCCTTTAACGGATTTTTGGTCTCCAAGACTTGGGGTCAAATCTAGATATTGTGAATATGAAATCCACTCGAACTGCAGACAATATTCCGAGTATGAAATTATTACCATACCCGAAACCCTTGCGCTTCACTCCTATCATCAGCGGGGACAATAATACCCCACACTCTGGTCATTTCATCTGTGGACTGAAAAACTCTTCACAAAATTTAACCCAACATATTTGCCTTGTAAGTGGCTGACCCGGGTTCCATACCCACATTCCATATGGTCCCCCAAGTTCACCATGAGTGATTCCTGAGTACAGAGTCAGGAGTAATTCCTGAGCACACCTGAACACCAAGTGGCCACAAACAAACAAACAAACAGAATAGCCCAATGCACTACGACAATACAAGTATAAAGTCTGAGATGATGAAAATGTCTAAACATAAAATATACTTCCTCGTCATTTTTTATGCATTTGTATGTGTATTTTATGTTTAGTAAGCCATAATATTTTCACACTTTTTGTATGGTTCCATGTAAAGATGCTAATTGTGCAGATAAATAACATGAAAAGTGAAATGCAATCAAAACCAATCAAATCAAGATTACACCCTTAGCAAGTTGGAAAAACCCAACGGCAGAGGTAAAGTCTGCCAATACCCTCTTCCAGTAGTCATTTCCTTTCTAATTTTGTTCCATTTTTCGTTTGCTTTAACCAAGAATAGCTGTGATGAGTCAATCAGTCATGGATTTTCCACAAAACACTGTTTTATAGGAACTTCTGAAAGACCGCTTGGTAGAACTGAGGTGGTGGGAGGGGGGGTGGGGGGGCAGTTTTACAATGGTTGCCTCACAGATTTTCCTTGGGGAAACATCTCAGAATTACCTGATCACTAGGAAACAGATAGGAGGCCTGCTTTTAAGCAGAGGAACAATCATGCTTTCTTCTTTTAAAAATTTGAGGGTTTTTTTTTTTGTTGTTGTTGTTTTTTTTGCTCCCTCATCCCTCCCTCCTCCCCTCCCCCCAACTCCCCAGTAATCCACAGAAAAGTCAATACAAGCGCAATGGAAAAGAAAAAGGCACAAACAGAGAGAAACAGAACGCTCTGGTGATGTTCAAAAAGGAATCTGTTGCTCAAGGCTCCCTGCAGTGAGAGAGTTTGGGCGCGTGTGGTGTGTCTGCAAACACGAAGCCTCCACTGGAATCTTCCACCTGGGCAGATGTGAGGAGAGCAGGGCGTTTCTCCAGGCTATGCCTCCAAGTGGTTGGGTTTTTCCAGGCAACATTAACAGCAGGAATTATGGGGCAAACAGAAATCTCTAGTTTCCTGGCCACACTGCAGGGAAAGCATTCAGGAAAGCTTCCTCCAGAGCCGGAATTTATTCCTGAAAAATTGGTTCCACTCATTACTGATTTAATGCTTTTAAGAAGTGAAAATCACTGGCTCTCTTTTGGAAAGCACCAGCGTTGTTGGTAATATAAAGTATTGTCCCTGAGACAAAACTCAACTTATGCATTTAAAAACTTTTGCTCTTCAGGCAATTCATCTGGTTGTTCAATTATAAAGTGTTAAAGATAAATATCTTAAGTATGTCCTTTCAACCTAACTCTTTTTTTTTTCTTTTTGGGTCACACTTGGCATTGCACAGGGGTTATTCCTGGCTCATGCACTCAGGAATTACTCCTGGGGGTGCTCGGGGGACCATATAGGATGCAGGGAATCGAACCCAGGTTGGCCACATGCAAGGCAAGGCAAACGCCTTACCCGCTTTGCTATTGCTCCAGCCCCTTAACTGACTCTTGAGAAAAGAAAGCACTTAAAGGAATATATAAAATGTCATACCAGTCACCTAACCATATATCTCTTTATTATGCATAATTTCTTTGATAATTGGGAGACTGGACAGCATTGCTTGTGACAACATTCAATACATACATTAAATATTTGTAGTTATTAAAATCTATATTTTTTCCATAACTGGATTAAGAAAGTTGTAAAACCGAGTTCGAGATGCAAAGCTGGTTTATTTTCACTTTGATGTGCTCAGTACTTGTGATCAGTTCTTGAAATACATCACTTAAATAAAAGAATATGGTGCCTCGCAGCAATTAAGTCCATTTAACTAAAGATTTAGACTATCACTTAGAGAAAAGCCATTTTTTACATAAACACTGGTGGTATAAACAAATGAAAAGATTTTATTTGTGATATTTAGTCTTCAGAATCCTAAAGTAAAACAGTGAGGAAAGCAAGCAATTGAAGTTACCAAAAGAATCATTATTCTGTGAAGTCCTGCCATTCATTCCTTTCCCTCCTTTATCTTAAAAGCACATTTAAAGAGGTCACATGAAGACTTTGCTTCATTTAGAATGAGTTCCTCTTAGAATAGCTGCAATCTTGTTTTCCAAGTTTTCCTTTGCTTGAGAGACCTCCCACTGGGAGTCATTTCCTCTAAAGTGATTTCAGGCCCCCAGACATCAGTCTGAAGGTGTTCCTGTTATCATCAACCCCTGCTTTTCCCAGGTGTAGGATTTGTGTTTGTAATGATAGCTAGCAAGGGGCTCTTTTAAGCCAATCTCACATACACGCTTGGAACAAACAATGCAAAATTACTCGGGGAGCTTTCTTCTTAAAAACAAACAAGAAATCTCCACGAGTGGTGCCTTTGTGTGAAATTCAGAGAGAGGAAAAAGTTTGCTGTTACCCTTCCCATATTTTTTCTCACCATCTCAATACTTTACCCCCACCCCCACCCCCACAAATAACATATAACTCAGGCAGGTCAGTAAGAATTGTTTGACTGCTGCAAATGTTTTCATCACTGAAGCTATAAATTAATCTTACAAATTAGCATTATTTCTCCATTTACTACTAAAGAAAGTAGTTTTGTAATTGCTGCGAGGAGGCACCATATTCTTTTATTTAAATGATGTATTTCAAGAACAAGTAGTTTTGTAGAACAGCAAGTTGTACTGGGCAATGACAAGAAGAAAATTAGTTGATATTAATAATTATTAGTAAGGTCTCTTATCAAATTAAAACTATACTTTTCTTTATAGAAGTGTATCAAAGAAGCTGACAACCCTCATGTTGAAATTTCCCTTTTCCGTTCATAAAGAAGATAAAATATTTCACTATATTTTAGCTGGCCTGACAAAAAAAAAACTTGCCCTTGTTTTGTCTATACTTGGTAACAAATTCGCATTCTTGTTTGCTCTAACAAAAGCTTGTAATTTCTGTTAGATTGTTCATTTTTCATTATTTTTATCTAACCTGATAGAATGATATTTTTATGTCATTATATTAATGTTGTGAAATGTTTTGAGATAGTGTACTGTATTTATGAATATTATTTTATGGCATTTCATTTAATAGAAATCATCCTATCAGTATGGAAAACTAAGAAATTGCTTTCCATTGTATAATCTGGCTCTCATAGATTAAAACTTAATTTTCTCTGAATAAGGCATATTCAATAAAGTACTATTCTTTAAAATGAAAAAAAAAACTTGCCTTTTCCAGGTTGAAAGATTCCTTAAAACAATGATAGGAATATGGAGCGATAGCACAACGGGTAGGGCGTTCGCCTTACAAGCAGCCAACATGGCCGACCCGAGTTCGAGTCCTCCGCCCCTCTCGGAGAGCCCGGCAAGCTACCGAGAGTATTCGATATGCCAGACACAGTAACAACAAAGTCTCCAATGGAGACGTTACTGAGCCCGCTCGAGCAAATCGACGATCAACGGGAGGGCCTTTACCTTTATTTATAACACGTTGCTAGTTGTGAAGGGAAAAAACTCTCCTCAGTATGATTTTGTTCGTTTTTGTGATGCCAGGGATCAAACCCAGTAGCTCTACTGCTGAGCTACATCTCTGGCCCCTGATCTCATTTTTAATCTCATTAATGAGAAATGTAGAATGGACTTCTCAGATTCAAAGCCCAGTAACAGCTTTCACCAGCTCTAGAATCTTGGGAAAATTACTTGACTTCTTGATCCTCTCTATTTTTGTATCTGAGAAGTTGAAATAATAACAAATTGAACACCAGAGTACCAATCCCTGACACAGAACCAGCAGACCTACACTTCTGGGTTGGGTATTGGTGAGAATGGTCCCTGGAGCTCACCCAACTCATCCCCCAACATCTTTGGGTGTAACCCCTATATAAAAAAAAATAACACATTCGGGCTGGAGTGATAGTCCAGTGGGGAAGGCGCTGGCCTTGCATGCCACTGACCTGGGTTTTATCCCTGGCATCCTATATGGTGTCCCTGAGTCCTGCCAGGAGTGACCCCTGAGTGCAGAGTCAGGAGTAAGCTTAAGTAAAATCCAGAGTTCAAACTTGGGGCAAAGTTTACCAAGAAAGTAAATGGCCAAAAGTTAGGTATGTGGGAGACACACCCACAAACCACCTCCCACTCAGCTATATAATTGGATGCATGGCCTCTCTGGCTCCTGATCAAGCTGCATAACGGCCAGAGACTCAGAAACAAATCTCAGAACCCAGTGGCTTTTGGCAGAAATGCATCCAGACCACCCCAAGGGGGGAAAGGGTGCCTTCTCCTAGGCTGCTCGGTGACTGCCATCCTCCAGAGGTCATTGGACAGTCAGGTTTGGGCCCTCAGTGACAAGACACATGGGGCCTCACAGGATGGAGGTGGAGCAGGCCCTTTCCTCCAACGAGACCCCGAGTTGCCGCCC